CACTTTATTTTATGGTGTGTGTGTGTGTGTGTTAAATTTGTGTATGTATCTTATCTGACCTTCTAAATTGTGAGCTTCATTTGGACAGAGATTATGCCTTATGTGTCTTTGTACCCAACTCAGCACATAATTATTCAATAACTGCTGAATGAATCTATGAATGAAAGACATGAATCCTTCACAAAGACATTTCTTTTTATTATTACAAGGAGGAAATAACATGTTATTATTTATATCATTAAAATAGCCCAACAATAGAAAGGTATTCATCAGATTCTCAAGGGTGTTTCCTGGGAACTAGGTAGTTACAAGGGGACACCAGAATCATTCCACCTGTTTTCAGTGTTTTTACCACTAACATCCCTGACCCAATTATACATAGCTGGTGTGTTACTTTGGGCTGAAGTGGGCCCTGGATTTTAGCTACCAGTAAGAAAAAAAAATAATGATGGGATGTATGTAGAACAAAAGAACCAATGCTACCAAGTTCCACTTACTCCATCTAGGCCTCCCTCAAGTTGACTTATATGGAAACCAGGGGCATTTATGGGAGTCAAAAATAAATCTTGCCATTCTAGCTCCACAGAGTTCCTTTGGAGTTTTACTAAGTGGCATATCAGGGATGTCTTGAAGGGATATACCAGAGCCTGATGGCTTCTGTTGGCTTTTGCTGACTACCTAATTGGGTGTGGCTACATAGATACTGCCTATCAGGAGAAAATTGTGACGATGGATTTTGCCAGCATGAGGATGTTTCCCAGAACTACAATCTAACCCAATCTAATAAGCATTTATTATGAGCTAGGCTGGGTTGGGGCGGGGGGGGGGGGGAGGTAGTGAGGACAGGAAATGCAAAGACCATGACCATAACCCCCCCCCCCCAAAAAAATAGCTCCTACTCTCGAGGAGTTACATTCTAGATAAAAGGTAAATGCCTATGTAGGCATTTCCTCTATACACAGAGCTATTCATTGAAGTACCAACTACTTTTTGCTCAAGATCAATGCCAACTTTGCACACTGGTAAAGAAACCCTTGTTATGATTGCAGTCAGTCCATCAGTCAGTCAGTGAATGAACATTTATCAAGCATCCACTATGTGCTTAGTGCTAGGGATACAAATATGAAAAACAAAAATAATCCTTACCCTTAAGCAGCTTATAAATTAATACATGAACACAACACACAAAGGGAAACTGAAAAGGAGGTCTTAATGAAGAAAGGAAGTATCTTCATGGAGACATAATAAAAAATCCAAAGGGAGGTGAGAAATGAAGAGATAGCTGGCCCTAGACACACTCCAAGCTATGCACTCTGCCTTCTAATCAGAGGGGTCCCAGGGACAGAGGATACTGATGAGGTGTGAGATCTAGGGATGATGTGATTTTAAGGGATTTTAAGAGATGATGAGGTTCATACTGGAGAAGCTCAAAGGAGTGCAGCCAGGTGGAAAATGAAGAATATGAAATGAAGACTGTAGAAGTCATAAAGCTCCATATCTACCTCTATTATTATGTATTTGTAGTTTTTTTTTGCTAATCATATGATGCTCTTTTTTGATTCTCTTTTCTCAGAATAAGCCTAAATCCTTAAATCTATCAGAATTTGTGTGTTACTGAAGTCTATAAGCTGGAAGAATAACACATTTATGCATCAATCCATGATAATATCGATCCCAGATTACTCTATGACACCTCTATTAAAATTTTTATGTAATTTGACTCCAGAAAAGAATGTGGAAATGTACCTCTTCCTTTTTTTTAACAGAGGTAGTAGACTGTGGGTGTAGAATATTGCTTATATTGTCAGTTTCAATTGATCTAGTAGTACGTTTTGTTGAATTGCTTTTATTTCCTCTTTTTAGTTTTTTATTACCAAAAATGGTTCACTGGGTAGGAGATGGGAGAAGGATCTACTTGAAAATGAAAAGGATATAAAAAGCAAAATATATTAATAATTTCATTTTTAAGTTTTGATGTTAACCTCCATGACCCACCCCTTAAACCTGAATAAATCACATGATTTACTATCTAGGATCTTTGATTGACTTTTATCTTGAACTGTGTGTGGAAGAGATAGTCAAAGAAATTTCTTCAGGAATTTCAATCCATAAACATGATTTATCTATGTATAAAGGATAGATTTTTAAGACAAAAATTTCATTGTTATTCCAGGAAATGATCATCACATTATATTATTCAAGCTGCCCATGAAGGGGGGGTTGTAAATATTGTCCATTCATGAATGTAGCAGGCCATGCCCTAAAAGTGAGATTTCTTAGAAAGTAAAAGTATGAAAAACACACTAAAAAATAACACCAATGATAAAGTACTTTCAGCTTTTATACATGCCAGATATGGAGGAGAGAGGGGAATACAGCCTATATTCAGGTCAATAGAGTCCATCTGAACATTTTTCATAGGAAAATAAGTTGACAGAATTGGTGTCTTGTGGCCTACAATTGATTCTGCTGTCAGGGTATAACATAAAGTGAACTTGAAGTTAGACATTCTCAGTTGACTATAGTCAAGTAACTTGATCTCCCTCAGTTTCCTCATTTGAAAATGGAGATAATAATATTTGAAGCAGCTACGTTGTGGGATTGGCATGGGGAATGTACTTTTTAAGCCAAAAAGCTTATATAAATATGAGTGATTATTGTATTAAAATAATATTCAAAGACCGTAGTGCAAGTCAGGATACTCAGCATTATCTGCCGAAGGTTGATATTTTTAAGGAGGATGTTGGCTATGAACTCTTGGTTAAGAATCCACAACAACTGGAAAATGCTATTCACCACCAGAGAAAGAACTAAGAGTCTGAATGCAGATTGAAGCATATTATTTTCTTTCTTTTTTTTCTTTCCCATGTTTTTTTTTCCTTTTGTTCTGATTCTTCTTTCACAACATGACTAATATGGAAATAGATGTAATATAATTATACATGTATGACCTATATCAGATTGCAGGCAGTCTTGGGGAGAGAAGAGGGGAAGGAGGGGAAAAAAGTTAGAACTCAAAATCTTATAAAAATGAATGTTAAAAATTAAAAATAAATAAAATATAACAAAAAAAGAATCCACATCGATTTCATAGACTACTCCAAGAAAAGAACTTCTCAATTCTTGTAGATGTTAAAAACGAAAAGTAAATAAATAAAATATAACAAAAAAAGAATCCACATTGATTTCATGGACTACCCCAAGAAAAGAACTTCTCAATTCTTGTAGATTACCTCTCAAATTAATTGAAAGTACACCAAGTTCTATATGAAATCTCTACTACAACAGTCACAGCTCTGAAACAAGTCATTTGCAGCACAGAGAATGTCAGACACCTCTTTCTAACAAAATGTCTTTACTTACCTAATATTGGTTTAGGAAATTTAGGAACAGAAACCTTAGGTGAGCTGTCACTGTCATGGCTCATTCCCCTCAAAAAAAAAAAAAAAAGATCAAGATGAAAGGATGGTGCCTACCAAGGATATCACTGAAAAAGAATACTGGGATTGACTGACCAAAAGTGCATGCTCAGCTTCTCATCACTTCATGTATCATTCTATGTTCAGCAACAGGAATTAGTGCTGCTGAATTACTGAAGGAGTAGTAGCTCAAGACTTAACCTCAGCACCATCTGGATATAGCTGAGGATTTATAAGACAAAACCAAGAAGGCGTTCTGAATGCTACTCTTTATTCATATATTTGGTGCTGATCTTTACAACTAGAATCCATCTTCTCCAGAGCCTATAGTGCTGGACCACAGTAGGTATCTGCCCTGGTGATGGAGGCCTTGAGGCCCAAATCAGAGGTGGTCCAGAAAGTCTCATAGTGCAGTGAAAAGAGTGTAAGATTTGGAGTCCAAGTACGTGAGTTTGAATCCCGACTCTACCACTTGCTGCCTCTGTAACTTTAGGTATGTCACTTCATTTCTCTGTGGGTCTTGGTTTCCTTAATTGTAAAATAAAAGAGTCAAACTAGATGATCATTAAGATTTCTTCAAGCTCTAAATCTATGATCCTATGTAGCTTAAGTATATTAAATACCTGGAAAAGCTTTGCTCTTAGGGTGACTTAACAAAAGAAAAACTCCTTATTGTAAACCTTCTAAACTCTAGAGTCTTATGTCTTTGGGTGGGAAAGACTAACCAAAGCCACAAAGCGAAGGTCTCAAGTTAGCTTGTAGAGCTGCCAAAGTTCAGTCACCTGGTCCCCCTTCATCCATTAATATAAATGAAGATGGATTCACTTTTATTTTCTTCCTTTAGAGTAATCATAGGAACATGCTGCAGAGATTTCTAGTACAGGCTTTGGCCCAGGGTAGTTTTTGCAGTAATAAAGGATTACCACATGAAGACACACATTTCCCTTGTCTATAACTGATATCTGAGACAATACATACCTTAAGTTTTAGTCCTAGTTTTTAATAAAGAAAATTGTATTTTCTGTGCTGACAATCTACCTGAGGGGTGAAAGTTTTTTTAAAACAGAAAAAGGGAGGTTATCAAAGCATCAAAGTATCTAAATTCACAACCTTTAATTCTATACTCTTCTTAGTCACCATTTTTTTAGCTCCCTACTTCACTTGCTATTTAATCTAGCTCAGGAATACAGGCAATGCTATGGCAATAAGTTAAGTTTTCTATCTGAGCATGAAATTTCCTCTCATTTCATGCATTAATATTATGTTTATAGTTGGTTACCATACATGCACATAGATTAAATTAACAATACCATTTAAAGAGCACAGATTCATAAGTAAATTTATTTTTGTTCAGTGTGTCTGTCTTAGAGATATTTAGTCCCTTGAGCCAAGAGTATGTATCTCTTAACCTCCATGTGTTATCCTATAGCATTTATAGACTCACATATATATGTATATATACATATAGGCTATTAAATAACTATGCAGTGATCAGGAGACTATATAATACCACAGGACAACTGCATAAAAGAAACAAAAGTTTATAAGAGTCAGTATAATGTATCAACTATAGCTTCTTACTTGAGGAAGGTGAGAAGTGTAGAATGTAGCCAATGGAGGTGGATCACTCTCTCAGTATCATCAACAGGTAATGTCTGAGTTGTTGCAACTCCAGGTAACATCTGTCCATTCAAGTAGAATAACATGTCATATATGGTTTTATTATATCTGGCAAAGTCATTATTTGAATTGATTTGTTTGTTTTTTGAAGCTGATAACTCTCCTTTAGACACATCCCTAAGAAAAATAATGCATTTTAGTTTCAAAAAAAATTGCCTTAATAAAACATCCTAACCATTAGCTATATTTATTTATTTTAGCAAATTTAACAAATAAAATTATTGTATTTATTTCTGTGTATAAATATTTATGCCTGGGCCTATGATTCAAATGATGTAAGGAACTCTTTGTGAGAGAAATCCCTCTACCAATGAAGCAACTAACTTGCCATTTATCATCTTTAAAAGATGGCTGCAACACTAACAGCTTGTGATTTGTTCTGGACCCACCATCATGTGTCAGAGGTAGGGCTTGAACCCAGGTCATCCAGACTCAGAGACCAAAGCTGTTCACTGCAAATAACTGCTTTTAAAAATAATTGAAAGATAGCATACAATGATAAAAATAAAATTTAGCATAGTTTTATTATAATCAGCAATGACTTGTAGTAAATCATTTTTCTATACCTTTGAAATATCTTGTTTTAAATATACACTCCTATCAAATGTAATGATAAGGGTTAGAATTATGAAGATTACTGTTGGGTTGAACCAAAACTGGGCAAAGGTCCATAAGATGACTTGTGCAGAGACAAGTGCAGAGAAAAGTCACTAAAAAGACAAATTATGGTCAAAACCAAAAGGACCACAGAAAAATGCACATTAGCTGGAGAAAAAAAATAAGAAGAAATGAGCATTCACAGATAATGCAGGAGGGACACAGGAAGAAAGTACTGGATAGGGCATATGAAAAGTGGTTGAGTCAGAGGCAGATCTTACACGGGGCATTAGTGGGCTTCAAGATTAGTATGAGTCCAGAGTAATATAACTGCCAGGAAAACTAATGAAATTGTGGGTTGTAGTAAGAGAGGAACAGGATCTAGGACTGAGGAAGCTACAGTCCTGCTGTACTTAGCACTATTCAGGCTAGATCTGGAGTGCTCTATTGCTTTTTATATGATATATTTTATGAGAAACATTAATAATCCAGAAGGTGTCCAGAAGGTAGTGAACAAGTAGGTGAGGGACGTTGAAAGAATGACACATGCAGAATAATTAAAAGAACCTAGGATGTTTAGACTGGAGATGACTTAAGGGTGAAGATGATGGATTTCATTGAGTATGTGAAGGGTTATCAAGTGAAACAGATATTAGACTTGCTCTAAATGGAACCAGAGGAGAGAACTGTGAGAGAAAAGGAGAGAGCTCTGGAGAAAAGTAAATTGGGTCTCAATGTGCTAAGTCTCAAGCTCTCAAACAAGTCACAAGAGTCCAAGATATAGCCATGGATGTCACCCATACTTAGCTCACTTCTACGCCCCTTAGTGTGGAAGCTACTGTGGCTCAGTAGATAAGAGTGCTGGGCCTGAAGTCAGGAAGACTCAGCTTTCTGAGCTCAAGTCTGACCTCGGACACTTACTAGCCTTGTGACCCCAGAGCACTTAACCCTGTTGGCCTCAGTTCCTCATCTATACAATAAGCTGCAAAAGGAAATGACAAACCACTCTAGTATCTTTGCCAAGAAAACAACTCAGCAACAAAAGCCACTTAGCCTTAGACCTCACCATAGTGCTAACAGCTGTTTCACTATTACCCCTCGCTAAGATGACCAAAGGAAAATTTTCCAAATAATCAGAACCCTTCAAAAGTGAAAAGGGCTCCCTTGAGTAATGGATGATTTCCCATCACTTCTCGGGTTCTGACTGCCATCATGTTCCTCGAGGCCTGCCCTTTTCAGTCAGTGTCCTATATTTTGGACCTCTCTCTTTTCCTTCCTCACTCCTTCATCAAAATCTATTCCCAGAAAACTATTTAACTCTAAGCTAGCTGATAAACTAATTCAAAGTAACTGGCAATGATTAATAATAATTTGTGTGTGTGTGTGTGTGTGTGTGTGTGTGTGTGTGTGTGTGTGTGT